ATCCCAAAAAAGTTGGGACAAGTACCAATAAGTGGCTGGAAAAAGAAAATTGAGCATATAACGAACAGCTGGAAGACCAATTAACACTAATTAGGTCAAATGACAACATGACTGGGTATAAAAAGAGCTTCTCAGAGTGTTAGTGTCTCTCAGAAGCCAAGATGGTAAGAGGATCACCAACTCCACCATTGTTGCGCAGAAAGATAGTGCAGCAATACCAGAATGGTGTTACCCAGCATAAAATAGCAAAGACTTTTAAGTTATCATCATCAACCGTGCATAACATCATCAAAAGATTCAGAGAATCTGGAACAATGGCTGTGCGTAAGGGTCAAGGCCGTAAAACTCTACTGGATGCTCGTGATCTCCGGGCCCTTAAACGTCACTGCACCTCAAACAGGAATGCCTCTGTCAAGGAAATAACAGAATGGGCTCAGGAATACTTCCAGAAAGCATTGTCAGTGAACACAATCCACCGTGCCATCCGCCGTTGCCAGCTGAAACTCTACAGTGCAAAGAGGAAGCCATTTCTAAGCAAGCTCCACAAGCTCAGACGTTTGCACTGGGCCAGGGGTCATTTAAAATGGAGTGTGGCAAAATGGAAGACTGTTCTGTGGTCAGATGAGTCACGATTTGAAGTTCTTTATGGAACACTGGGACGCCTTGTCATCCGGACCAGAGAGGACAAGGATAGCCCAAGTTGTTATCAACGCTCCGTTCAGAAGCCTGCATCACTGATGGTATGGGGTTGCATGAGCGCTTGTGGCATGGGCATCGTGCATGTCTGGAAAGGCACCATTAATGCAGAGAACTATGTTCAGGTTCTAGAACAACATATGCTCCCATCTAGACGTCATCTCTTTCAGGGAAGACCCTGCATTTTTCAACACGATAATGCCAGACCACATTCTGCAGCAATCACAACATCATGGCTACATAGGAGAAGGATCCGGGTACTGAAATGTCCAGCCTGCAGTCCAGATCTTTCACCTACAGAGAACATTTGGCACATCATAAAGAGGAAGGTGCGACAAAGAAGGCCCAAGACGATTGAACAGTTAGAGGCCTGTATTAGACCTGAATGGGAGAGCATTCCTATTTCTAAACTTGAGAAACTGGTCTCCTCTGTCCCCAGACGTCTGTTGAGTGTTGGAAGAAGAAGGGGGGATGCCACACAGTGGTAAAAATGGACTTGTCCCAACTTTTTTGGGATTTGTTGACGCCATGAAATTTGGAAACAACAGATTTTTCCCTTAAAATGATACATTCTCTCAGTTTAAACGTTTGATCTGTGATTTGTGTTCTATTCTGAATAAAATATTAGATGTTGGCACCTCCACAATTTGTTTAGTGTCCCAACTTTTTTGGAATCCGGTTTGTAAAAAAAACAAACAAAAACAAAAGTCCTCCTCAGACAGAACCCACTCTCTATTTCTCTCTGAGTTCTTCTGAGTAAAAACCATAAAATCAACAAAAATAAGGCAGAATGGCATTATTCACCTTCATTCGACAACATTTCAGTTATTCCCTCTTTATGAGGCTAGAAAACAGTAGCATTTATTTTTAATGGCAAAGCATATTAGAGGCTCCATCTTTCTCCTGAGCCCTTTATTGATGTCAACAGATTTTGCAAGACCATCTCCTTCACAACCAGTCACACCCCTTGTCCATCCTGTTATGGTATGATGTTTATGACATTTAGATTGTAAATGCCTCGCAGGTTTGGATTTCTGTTGGGCTGATATTTGTAGAGACAACTTCCTGTTTTCAGTCCAACCAGTCCATGTTTTGACCAAGTCCAGTCCACAAGGTTAATTTTAATGTCTAAAAATGTCTCTGGCAAAAGAACACATAAGAAAAAATAATGACAAATATACCGATCTCTTAGGTAATTTCACACTTATTTTAATTCATTATTTATTCAAACTATTATCTTTTGTTAAGTTCTGTCTGAGAATGCATTAGTAGTGGTAAATATCCTTTTAACCTCTTACTGCAATTTAATCTTTGAACCTCTAGAAGTCCATTTAACTTACACAAATTAACTTATTTATTATAAAATTCCAGCTAATTTTCTGCTCTCTTGTGGCTTCTCTCTGACCATTTGAGCTTCTGTCATCTTTTTCTATTCTCCACTCAAGTTTAACTTTTTAGGCATTTCTGTTATCAGCATTTTATTCTTAAAAAACATTCAAACATCCTTAATCCTCTTTTTTTTCTTTATTTATTTGTCATCTTTCGTCTTCCATAATCCTCTAATGTATCTCTTTATTTATTGTGTGCAATTTCAACAAATCATATCTCAAAATGTTCAGCTCATTAAGGAAAAGATGCTATGAATTCTTGGTACTTGCAACTTCAGCTTTCTAGGAATAGTTTAATCTTTTTCTGTGATTTTGTTTCTCAAAAGAAACGAATTTAGCTCATTCACATTCTCCACATCTCTAGATCTGTTTGTAACATTTAAGCCTTTTTTCCACAGCTCCTCTTCTGCATGACTTGATTCGTTTCAGTACGGTTTTGAGCCCTTTTCCGCTATCATTTTTTCATGGAACCGGCACCTTTTTTGGTCCCTTCTTCTCAAGGGTACCAAGTGAGCCGAGCCGGCACCAAAACATGACGTTAGAACACTGTTGGTCACTGATTGGTCAGGGGGCGGAGTCAATAGAGGGGTTTGAGAGTTTTTCAAAACATTCGACCCGCCATTTGCAATTACCGGTGTTCGAACTCGAGAAGCGATTCGACCCATTTTTCAGATTTTAAAAACAATAATGACAACATTGTGGTCTAATGCTGAAGTGCAGGTGTTTTTTGTGCTTGGTGGCCGATGACAAAATTCATAGCAAGCTAGCTGGAACTCTGAGTTAAATACAGCACCTCAGACTGAGGAAGTCTTTCGGATGAAAGACGAAACATTTCTACTTTTTTTTTTTTGTTGTTGTTTTTCTTTGGTTTGTTTTTTTGAATGTCCAGAGGACCAGATTGAACTTTTTTAGGTATATTTGACAGTTTTGCCTATCAGAGTAAGTTGTCCTCGTTGTTCATCCAATTGTTGCTATATCACAGGAAGCTCATTTTTCAACTCATTGACATGTCGCTTGATGGTGGCAATATTAACAGCATTAACCGAAGAAACACCCAAACTGAGCAGAGAGCCGATGTCTGAGGCACCAGTGAGGAGTCCAATTATAAAATGCTTCTCTGTTCAGTTGTTTGTGCAGAAGCGTGTTGGCTTTGGAGCGTCTCTTCAAAGCGTGTGTGTTTTCTCAAAAGTTTTCTTAGAAGTGAAACTTACTGTCTGTGTGGAACAAAGATGAAGGTCCACCTCATGGAAGAGGTGGTTCTAACTCTTGGCTTGTTTTTTTTATAAATCTAAACATCTTGTTTCTGCCTTAAAAGTTTTCTTTTTTAAAGAGAAAATGAGACAAATGTATTATCTTAAAGAAAGATTACTTAAAACACACATTTTCATGAATAAACATTCAGGTATTACATATTTAGGATTAAACTTAAAACATGCAATGTTTTACCAAAGGTAAACAGAACAGAGCTTCATGATTTACAAATTCTCCAGGAGCAATTTGAGAGAAGTTGGCCTATCCAAGGTCAAACAGGAGAGCCAGTTTCAGATAAGCAACAATTGTTTTGGGACATGCTGACTCTACTGATTTCCCTTCTGCCTTGTTTTTGCTAGTACACTCAATGGTGAATCCAAACAGCTAGCTTCATGGTCATTCCGCCGGTCCATAGCCTTCTCCAAGGCCAATTCCTTCATGCCAGCAAGTTCTAAGAGCCGCAAGTGGCCTGCGATTCTCAGGAATCACATCCAGCTTATGGTTTAGCTTTCAAAGCATCCGAGTCTGAGTGCTCGAAGCATAGTGCAATCTTTCATAAGGCAGGCAGCCTCACCATTACCAAAACTGTTGCCAATGTCTTCCTAATTTGTCGCTATCCCAGGTACCTGACGATTCCAAAAAGCAGAAACCCTGTTATCATAAATCTAATTATGTACTTATCTTTAACATCCTCAACAGACAATAGAGAGGGACATCATCTTCCATACACCCCAGGAATCCATGATATACCCAGCTGCATGTGTCCCTTCAGGGCATGAGGGTTCTTCTTCACCTTGTCTTCTAATCAAGAAAATTTTATCAATTGCATTGAGAGACCAGCTGACCAGATCCATAACAATTTGATTCTGAAGACGTGTAAAGAAAGGCTCTGAGAGATCACAGGACAAGAGCAAAAGCAGCAGGGTGGCAGGAGAGGAGGGAAAAGTGTCCGTCTTCGTCGAAAGCAAGTCAGAAAAAAAGATCCATGATCATGATCCATCAAGAGCATATGTGAACATGATTAAATTTAAGAAACTAGTTTTGTGATAATATGAATTTCAAATGTTTCTGTATAAACCTTTAGAGTGAAATGCTTGGCAATCAGAAATCTGTTTTTATTCAACTTTTCTATTTCTGCTGAGGGCAGTGCAGCACTCTGAATGTCACCAAGTCCTTCAGTGGTGTGTTTGGTGGACAGATCCTGGAAACAGTGGTATCAGTGTTCAGTCCAAATTCTAGGGCATGCTTCAACATCTCCAAGTTAGAGGAGAATGGGAATTTTGAGTTTGCAATGTAAGAAAACTGCTCGTTGGAAGTTTTGATACATGCATGTTGGATTGAAGTGCAAATTACGTTATAGCAAGCACACAATAAATAATGAGTCTGATAGATTTGACAATATTTATTGATTTTTCATGTTGATGCAACATTCAAACGCTGTTTGCATGAGATGAATGATGAAGCCTTTTATGTAGTTGTTTGAAAACCATTCTCACCATAATGTCTTTATGCCCAGGAGGTTGTGAATGTGCTCCACACCACTTCAGCTGTGTTCTTCTAGACGTTGCCTTGAATCAAGCTTATTCATATTTATGAAAAAAGAGTTAAGTTAGTAAACTAAAAGTGGAGAGCCATGACTACAGCTGTGCTTTATTAAATTCTTACCAATATCTTCAGGGTAGCCTTCAGGAATTGGTGGAACCCAAGCAAATTCAGGCCATCCCAAGGTCTCATTCACATTTTGTTCCTCCAGCCACTTAGTTACAGGTTCAAAATACTTAATCAGTGAGCTGGCATTCATCTCCCTGGTGCCTATAGCATCTTGAAGCACATCAGGCCAAGGTTTGGAAGAGCCAGCCTGAAGAACTTGCCTTGGGGAGGAGATAATACTCTTAACCCATCATTCATGGTGTCTAATAAACAGAGGTTCAGTGGGTTGACTTACTTTAGAATGGTTCCTGCTTCTGCAGATTGGTAGATGTCACATGTGTGCAGGGGACCTGTGTGGTTGGCAGCCTGACACAGTTTCTCATGAAACTGGAATTGCAGAATGAAGCTGACAAAATAGCTGCATTGCAGAGGACAACATTTTGTTATATTGACTGCTTTTATTTTAGCCAGGAGAAACCAGCTCAAGTAACTTAAACATTGCATTGGCCTCTGCAACAGGCTTCCTCCCATTGCAGTGACTTTAATTGCACTCATAGTGCAATTGGGAAAAGTGAAACACTCAGACTTGCCTCCACCGTCAGTTATCCCATTCTGAGCCCATGAGTAAGTACTTCCCCACGCCCCACCCCCATCCACCCACCTACTGCTCAGACTCCTTTGATGAGTAGTGGTTTTCTGCAGACAAAAAGTGGGTGTTTCTGGAGAATAGGCATTTGTAGAGGACAAACACTGATTGGCTAGCTGTATTTGCTGGCTCTTTAGGTAAGTTACGTCAGCTTTTTTTTAAAAAACTGATGGTTTCTAAGAAACTGCGTTACATCTGCTGTCAAACACAAGAAGATTATTTTGTGTTCTTGGGTTGTAGGCTGCACCTGACACAGGTTGGCTTGAGTGTGGTCTGGGTACAATGAAATATGAAGCATCTGAAGCAAAACCTGCTCCCATTTGTCAAAAAGTCTGGTCTCAATTAATTAAGATCATGAGTCCTCTAACAAGATAATGGCCAGAAACAAAAGCTAAAACCAAAATTTGCTCTTTAGAAGTGTTCTTCTATGAGATCTGATCTATGAAAGGCGCTGAAACATGGAGAAGGATTGACCCTTAAAATCTGAGACAGCCGGCATTGTTGAACCTGAGACGCTGATAATGTCGAACCGGTTAACACCATAGACATAATATGCCTGTAGTTAACACAATCTGCCAATAACGCCTTGTTTTGAAACGTAATATGCCTGTGATTACAAACGTCTTTTTTTTCGTTCTGCCTTTCTTTTGTCCAATAAGAATTGGCCCTCCAGATACACCCTTTTTTTAATTGTCCAATCAAATGTGGCCCTCCAGATATGCCTTCCGAATTTGTCTGCAGAGATACCTACTTGCCTTTGATGGCTGCCCTCTGCTCCACAAAGAGGGCTGTTGTAGCTCACTTTGCATTTGAAAGGGCACCCAGTGCAAAACAACTGCCTATTCCTCTAGAGAGCATGCTTTCTAAGGAAACCCCCCCAAAATGGAAAGGCTGAAAGAAGAAAAATAATAAAAATTGGGAGAGAAACAGTACCTGATGTATGGATAATTGCCAGGGATATGATATTTTGCACCAGGATCAAAATGCTCCTCTGTACGTTTGATGGGTGGACAAATTCCTTGGTATTTTGTTCTATTTAAAACATTACAATGTAATTTTAAGAACATAAGTGTCAGCCCTGTACCTATTTAAAGTATGTAATGTTTATATATCGTCCTACCTGAGGTGCCACCAATCAGAGTTGTAATTGTCTGGAGTGGTGATTCCACTGAACACACTCCATCTCCAGAGGTCAATGAGGTAGCCAAAAGGAAGAAAAGCTATTGTCTCCAGAGCCATCTTCAATAAGTAGTTAAAATCAGTTTCTAGAAAAAGAAATAGTTTATTGAAATGGCAACATTCCAACATTTTGCCAGTTCATAATATTCATTGATCTGAGAGGCATTTGGAAATATTACCAGTATCGGATGCTGCAGACTCCAGCAGGTTGATTTTGTGTAGATGGTTTGGTGTGGAAACTGAAAGAGCCATAAGGTCACCAATAGCTTCATGGAAACCAGGGTTGGCTCCGTCACGGAAGCCCACATGTTGGTCCTTGTATTGTAGGAAATACTGGATGTCTCCCATTAGACGATGAACAGTGATGAGCTGTTCCATCGTCACTTTTGTGCACTGCAAAACCCTGAAAAACATCAAATATTAACACACAACCATTTCAGTCATAGCTAGGAGATAAATGTGATTTACCTGAAATCTTTGCGGTTCCCAAAATCCCAAGCAGATGCTTGACACACAACTTCTCGGTCCTTAGGCTTAACAAAGATAGATTTTTCCCAGAACTCTCTTGGCACCTCCTCAAAACCCAAAGATGTGAAGAACTTTTCAGCTACACGGAACATGCGCGTGGCATTGTAGCCCTGAGAATCAGATTCAGAACAAGCTTTATTATCATTGCATCTAAATACAGAGAGATTATATTCCGTACAGTTGTCCGAAAGATGGGTGGAGAGCATGTGGCTGCAGCTCCTACAAGAGCAGCCCCTTATTCTTTAGATGGAAAAGGGGAAAGACCATGAGTATAGGATAGTGATATTAAAAAAAAAACATCTATTCACACTTTGTCCTTGTCAGGACATGATTTAAGACATAAAAAAGACCATTTGACAAAGTCAGATCATCTAACACACCCCACCCAACACCACTTCAGTAGCATGAACAAGTCTTGTCACACTCACTTGTTTGACCATTTCATTTGTCACATCCAGGTTGGGTTTTTTAGGAAATGGTATCATCATATCATAAATGTTATTCCAATTCTGGGCCCACATATTTCCTGAGTGAGAGGATGGAAACATAATTGTATGGTCATTTGGACTTACCATGCAGGACTCTAATAGAAATGCTTGCATGCATTATTCAATAAGTTGTATCATGCATCTGTTCTCCCATTGTTCTTCAGCTGTTTATGAAGTGTGTTTGCAAATACCTTATAATCCTTTTGTTTGAAATGGAAATGTTTGTAGTGCCTCAAATTCAAGTTAAACTTCTTTAAAAGTTTTAGAAAATAAGCATACATCTTACCCAACAGATGGGCAGGGATTGGTCCTTTTAGATTGATATACTTGGGGCCATAGAAATTGTAGAGATGGCGACGCACAAAGGCGTGCAGGTTCAGGTAGAGTGGCTTGATGGTCTTGAAGAGTTTCTCTATATCCTGCTCAAAAGTTTCACTTTCAAACCAAGAGCGCCAAACTGCTCCAGTGTCTTCATATCCTAGAGAGAAATGTTTTCCATTCAGTTGTCTCCATCGTTATTTTGCAATTTTTATCTGAAACATTAAAACATTGACTGCAATAATTCAGCATGAAATTGTCAGGTGGTCTTTCTTACCATCAGCTTGTGCAGCTTTGTTGATGAGCTCCACATATCTTGGGTAATACTGTTTCAAAGGCACACCTGCTGCATTGTGCCAGCCTTCCCAAGCAAACAGCAACTGCTTGTAGCTTCTGTTTTTAGCCATGACTTCTGTGAGATCTGCAAGAATATAAATCTCTCAATCAATGTTGAACACACAAAACTTATGGAATAAACATCAGGTAAAAAGTTTAAAAGAAAAATGAGCTACACAATAAATAAGGTAAACTGTAAAAAGAGGCAAAGTTGAAATGTAATTTTTGGAAGTCAACCATAAAAACTCATCTGATTGTGTGACTGTTTACTTTAGGACTCTGGGGCACTTATTTAAAGACGAATACTCACCAGGATTCAGGCTCCAGCTGATGTTTGGCTCAGGGTGTACCTTAGCTGTGGCAAAAATACCTTCCATGATGCTGAGGATGGTGTTGAACTAAAGGACAAACATTTGATGTTTTAAGAGATCAGCAAAGTGTCACTATGACAAACATGTGATTACAGACAATCAAACCTCTTCTCTTTCAGCCTGTGGGAGGTTGGCAGTACCCAGCACCTTGATTCCACTCATCAGCCTTTTATCTTTAGGGTTTGGAAGAGAGTCCAGAAATTTTTCAGTAAAGATCTCCTTGGCCTTGACTCCCCAGGCTTGAATAAAGGCTTGTCCTTTAAGTTCTGCTTTGACCTAAGACAAGGAGACAGCAGTTTGAATATGACTGACTTTGTATTTTGCTTTGTGTGTTGTCTGTTGTTCTGTCTGTACAGCACTTTGGTTGGCCTTGTAGCTGTTTTAAGTGCTCTATAAATAAAATGATATGGTATTGTATGGTATGGTACGTTCCATTTTTTCCCTCATTCATGAACAAGACCCCAAGATACTTGAACTCCTCCACACCTTCATGCTTGCTCAAGATGAGAGTTCAGTGATGGAGTTCAATTCAAAGCAGTCTGCTCCTTAGATAAATAATGTTAACTTATATTGTATATATGAATGTTTCTGTTCAGTGCCCTGAGATGACTTCTGTTGTGACTTGACGCTATATAAATAAACTGAATTCAATTGAATATCGCCATCTAAGATATTGCATCAGTCAGTGACATTTTCCATTGCTCATTTGTTCAAGTGTTGCAGCAACATGCAACTCATTGAGCAACAGTGAAAGAAAAGTGGGCCTTTAAATGAACTGACGAGAGTATTTATGAGGTTTTATAAATCTGCCAGATACTCCTAAAATGTAGAGGGAGATTTGGCAAAATCAGGCATGATTTATGAACTCTTGACTATAGACAGATACTCTAAGTTTGGCTCCTTTAACAGTCCATTATGACATTATTATTTATTAGTCAGCATCCAGGTAGAAATGTTGCCTTTTCTTACAGCTGTCAAAGCTCGAGAACTGCTCTTGAATGTATCTGTGGTGACAAATGTGATAGGCAGAGAGGGAATGATGAGATTTAGTTCCTACCTGAAGCTTGGAGTTGTATTTTGTTATGTTAGTGTCGTAGTTCCAGATGGCGGACGCGGTGTAGAACAACACCTCCTCAGCAGTGCTGTTGTAGTCGCTGAGGAACCTGAGTGCATCAGAGGTGCTGTTTGTGTAGTTTCCTGGCTGCCAGCTCTCTGGCAGATCTTCACTCAGCACCAAGACAGGCAGTAGAAGGAGCAGCAGGGACCTGACCAAGCTGTCCATGGTTAGCTGCAACTTCAGGCAGAGTGGAAAGAAGAACTAAGGTACTACTGCAGTGCCTTAAACAATTCTCCAAAGGAATGTTTCTCCTTCTGTGCGTCTCCTTCTGTGCGTCTCCTTCTGTGCGTCTCCTCTGGCCTGTCTGCTGGTGAAGCACGCAGAAACCAACCAGTGCATCTTTATAAAGGCCCCTTTAACCCAACCCACACACAAGAGGCATATCTGAACTACATCTTCATGACTGCATACCCAGTGGAGTGAAGACTCCTCAATAAGCAGCACAGCAGTGAAGGATCTGGGAGGGACTTTGCATATTTCACTCCATTCCATTTTTCAGCATGGGGGGGGGGGGGGGGGTTAAATACAGCAGGAATGAAAGTAAGAGATAGAACAGAAAAGAAAAACTGGAATGACGGTGAGGTTACCTATAATCCAGCATAGATTTATATGTGTCTAAATATTCTATATTCAGGCAGTGCATCTTGTCTGCAGTCTTCACATTTAATACAGATCACAAACTATCATTGGGAACTTGCATAAGGGGCATCAACAATACAAGTTAGAGTACAACTGTAAAAGCAAGGAGATAATATTTCTATAGATATTTTTGGGAAAAGATGTGAACATTATTATAGAGGCCTATTTCCAACACTTGGATGAAATAAATAAATAAAAAAATCCAGGTCATAAATATAATCCTCAGCATTTGGCTCAGATTCCAGCTATCAAGAGGCACACCTGATCTAGTCAGAAGGAGAATTTTACAATTTGTTGATTTGATTTATTCTATTTAATGAATCTTTGATTTTGAGGATTTTCCTGTTAAAAATGTTCTTGCTTATTCTCAGGTTCAGTTATTCTCCTGTTTTTTTTTTTTAATACACTTTAAAATTGAACATTGATACATTGCGCTCATATCCTGAGTGCACATGCTCAATCCTTCTTTCTTGTTCAATTCCCCCTTCAGATGATGTGTCCAGAACTGCATGCTGGTGCTGCTGAAAGTGCATGAGCACCAGAGCATACTTCCTGTTTATCACTTGTTAGAAAGCCCACATAGTTTATGTGTACTGATAGATGTCTTGTTTACTGAGCTAAATTATGTTTAGTTATAGCTTGTTTCTTTCTAGGTCTCATAATTATTTTGCTCTTAAATTTATGAATTGAATTGAAATGCACCAAAGCTGTTCGGACGCTTGTGAATGCACTGCTCTGTGTGTAAAAATGCCATGCTGAGTGTATGAGATTTTTTTCTTTTGACAGACAGAACTTTGCGTTTAAGCATTTGCCTACACATTCTGGGTTTATTGCTGTGTATTTCTAGAAGAAACACGGCAAATAAATGAACCCTAAACTGGACATCTGTATCTGTGTTCTTTAATGGGAGTACAACTTCATACCCGCCACTCTAAACCTGTTAATTTCCTGGAGAACATCAAACCTCTCCTTTTTATCACTGTTGTCTTCAGCTGCTAATGAGGTCGGCAACACAGGGCTTAATTTTGGCTTCTTTGCACTGCTCCTAATCAGCCCCAACTCTGCACAGCCCGCCATGGAAAAAACCCTTTTGCACCAATACTTTAGCTAGTATTTTTAGCCTTTTATATTGTATGTGGAAAACTTGTCAGTGCCTGTGTAATTAATTTTAATTCATTTATGTATGTGTGACTGATCTGGTGTGGGAGGGAAGGGGCGGGAGGTGTATTTTTTTGTCGTTTTGTTTTTTGTCTTTTATATGTTCAAAATGAAAAATTTATAAAAAATAAAAAAAAGACTGATTTAAAAAAAAAAAAACAATATACGGTTCATGGGCAATAAAGAGGCATCCTTCAGTTAAAGAGTGTTTTAAGAGACAGCTGAGCTTCTTGTTCTCAGGGCAGCAGTGGTGGAGAAAGTACTCAAACACTGTACTTAAGTAAAAGTACAAATAAACAGACAAATGTACTCTAGTAAAAGTAGAAGTACCACATTAACATTTTTACTTAAGTAAAAGTAAATAAGTACTTGCTTTTAAAATACTTAATGTATTAAAAGTAAAAGTACTTGCTGAATGCATTACCGAATGCAATAGTCTACATATCTTTAAGTCTGCCTACCGTATGTATATTTTCTGTAATACATTAGTGTTGAGCCATTTTAATGAACAATGCTGCAGATAATACATGTTTTTGTGTTTACTCTGTGACACAGTTCACACTTGGACTTGTGATTCTGTGCATCAGAGTTTCAGGGATGAGTTAAATGCCATTAAGCAAAATAAGAGGAATGAATATACCTTTGAAAGTTTTTATTTAACACAAAGCAAAACCAATGTGTCATTTTAACTGCAGTGAACACGTTTAAGTAAAAGTTGTCTGCCTGAAAAAAAAAGGAGCATTAGACACAACAAAGGAATATCGAATCATTTCAACTCCAGTTTGTCATCATCTCTAGTTAAAATACTGTCTAGTCAACCTTGTAATGGGTCAATATTGAACAATATTTTAACTTCCTGACACCATTTTTAAAACTTGGACCCGAGTGTCAAGACATTTGGAGACATCTCTTGTCTCCTAACCTCCCATGAACTGACACTTTTAATATTGCAAGAATTTCTTGTTCAAGTTCAGAAGTTGGTTTTCAAAGATTTTGAGTCCAGTCTGGCTCTTTTGGGAGAGATAATCTGTCTTGTTGTACTGAGCAGTCTTTCAATAAGGCCATGGGTGGAGCATATCTTCTGGGTGACTCTTTCGGTGGAATACATTGAGTGTAGTGGTGCTGTGGGTGCACCCAGCTCAGTGACATATATACTAGTATATATGTAATTGGCCCAGCTCTTTTTGAAGGCGGGCCTAACGTTACCCGTCCACTTTGCAGTGATTCAATGGACCAGCTCCCCTCTCACCATTAGTTACTTTCAAAGTAATAAACAAATCAAAAAGCCGCAACATGAATGTAACTTGTAATGCAATGCGTTATAGATATGTAGTGTAGTAGAAAGTACAGATACTTGATGTAAAATGTAGTGGAGTAAAATTATAAAGTACCCACATTTAACTCTACTTAAGTACAGATACATGAAAAATTTACTCAAGTACAGTAACAAAGTATTTGTACTTTGTTACATCCCACCACTGCAGGGTAGAGGTGAAAAATCATAACAAAACTTAAGCACAATAAAAGATTCATAACCTTTGACCAAAATGTCCGAGAAATACCAGTCTGCTTTGTCTAAATTTCACAGTTTGTTCAGTTTAGGATCTTTAGCTGCACACTATTGTCAAGATTGAAGATGTCAGTTTGAGCACAAACATCTCCATCTTGATAATTCCTAAAGATTTAAACTTTTTCCCTTTCAAAAGAAGTCTTGGTCTTCCTGGCTGTAAAGATGCTTCACCATCTGTTTAACAGTGCCTGGAATTGACCGTCTTGATTATGGGCCAGGAGACATTTAATGTTGGGCCTTTAAATACCGTAGCTGAAGGTTTAATTTTCAGAAAAAAATATCAAAAGCACACATTTGATAAGTTTTGGTTCCCACCCCCCCACTAGATTACATCATGATCCATCAAGAGCATATGTGAACATGATTGCATTTAAGATACTAGTTTATGTGAATTTCAGAAGTTTCGGTATAAAACTTTTAAACGCTTGGCAATCAGAAATCCAATTTTTATTAAACTCTTCCTGTACTGCAGAGGAGGTCAGTGCTGCCCTCTGTCACAAAGTCCTTCAGTGATGAGTTTGATGGGCAGATCCTGGAAGTGAGTGATATATTTAACAACCTCCAGCATGCTTCAACATCTCCATGTTAGAGGAGAAAGGGTATTTTGAGTGGTCAATGTAAGAAAACTGCTGAGTTAAGTTTTGATACATGCACGTGGGATTGAAGTGCAAATGACATTAGAGCAAGCACACCATGAATAACGAGTTTAATAGATTTATTGATTTTACATTTTGATGCAACATTCAAAACTTGTTCAGATGAGATGAATGACGAAGCCTTTTATGAAGCCGTTTGAGAACCATTCTCACTACAACGTCTTTTTGCCCAGGAGGTTGTGAATGTGCTCCACACCACTTCAGCTATGTTCTTCCAGAAGTTGCATTGAATCAAGCTTATTTGATTTATGACAAAGTTTAGTTAGTAAACTAGAAGTGAAGAACCATGACTAGAACTGTGCTTCATTTAATTCTTACCAGTATCTTCAGGAGTAGTCCTCAGGAATTGGTGGAACCCAAGCAAATTCAGGCCATCCCAAGGTCTCATTCACATTTTGTTTCTCCAGCCACTTAGTTACAGGTTCAAAGTATTTCATCAGTGAGCTGGCACTCATCTCCCTGGTGCCTATAGCATCTTCAAGCACATCAGGCCAAGGTCTGGAAGAGCCAGCCTGAAGAAGTTTCCTTGGGGAGGAGATAATACTTTTAACCCATCATTCATGCTATATAATAACGAAAATTCAATTAGTTGACTTACTTTAGAATGGCTCCTGCTTCTGCAGATTGGTAGATGTCACATGTGTGCAGGGGACCTGTGTGGTTGGCAGCCTGACACAATCTCTCATGGAACTGGAATTGCAGAATGTAGCTGACAAAATACCTGCATTTGGGATAGGGAGTGTCATTGTCTTATCTTGACCAATTTTTTAGCTAGTAGAAATCAGATAACTTAAACATTGCCTTGGAATCTGCAACAGGTTTCCTTCCATTGTAGGGTGATTTTTAGTTTTAAAAACATGCATACTTCTCAAATCATCCTTTTAGCATATGTAGTGAACATTCCAGGTATGCATACAATGCACAAAATGAGTGCAAGGTAGAGCACTTGTCATTAAAACCAGAATGCTTCTGGCACAGCAAGTACAATGAAGTAAAACTAGGCTCAACATTCTGATTAATGTTTGTGAAAGATTCTGTTTACTTTTATTTTAGTAAGAGTAAACGGAATCACCTGGATGACCCTAAATTTTCTGCTTTTGAACACAGACAAGATTGAGGTTTTAGTTTTTGGACCTGAGCATCTTAAGAATTTTTCAGTCTTTCGCCCTCCTTGGATGGCATAAATCTGGCCTCCAGCTCTAATGTTAAAAATCTTTGTGTTATTTTTGATCAGGACATGTCTTATCTCTCACATTAAAAACGTTACTGGAACTGCCTTCTTCCACCTGCGTAATATCACTACAATTAGAAACATCTTATCTGAAAATGATGCAGAAAAACGTGTTCATGCATTTGTCGCGTCTAGACTGGACTATTGCAACGGTTTATTATCTGGGTGTTCAAATAATTCTTTAAAAAAATTTAAAAAAAAAAAGTCTTCAGTTGATCCAAATTGCTGCTGCCAGAGTCTTAACTGGAGTTGGGAGAGCTCGGTGGTTAATTTGAGCTGGATCCTGCTGGAACAAGATTGGGGAACTCTCATTTTGACCCGGTGCATTTCGGCAACTCTGATCGGATCCGGCAGCTCCGCCCCGAAAAGTCCAAAGTCATTGCACATTATTAGATTATTTAAAAAAAAAAATGTATATATATACCAAGAGGAGACGTTGCCCTTAGTCCAGTGGACCCAGTCTGGATGTTTCAGCAGCGAAACGCTCCTTCGAGGAGCAGGAGAGGAGCCTATGGAGGGTGGGGGGGACAGATTGTCTTACGCACAGAGATTCTGCACACAGTCCTCTTCTCTCCAAACATTATCCCTACTCAGTGGGGCTGCACACTGAAAAACACCCTCTCCTCCTCTCACACCCAGAAACAGGATCATTTATTCAACAGAATAAATAAATGCCCTGTGGAAAGTGCACGTTACGCACAGAAACGTCTCCAGACAGCTCTAGCGCGCGCACATCAACAGGTGTCTGAATTCCTGCTGCATTTCAGACAAAAAAAAAAAAAAAAAAAAAAAGCTTACTGTAAAAAAAAAAAAAATACAAAGATAGAAATGTTTGATGCGTTATTCACATTATACGTCACTTCTCAAAACAACGGCGCTAATTTGTTCAAATAACAGCGAGCAATACGTTAAAGACAGTCCAATTTACTTTAATACAAAATGGATGGATTGTCCTTAGTTGGACAACAGGGAACTGAATCCTTCAGGTGCTTCAAACGGCACCACGAGACTGGAGCAAGAACGGAGAAGAGTTCAGCTCAGAACCGTGAAGGGAGGGAGGTTTAGGACACCTGACAGAATCAGAGCTGCTCCAATTCACACAACCTGCCGTTCCTCTCCAAAATAGTAATTTTATTGTTTGCAAATTTAGGTAAATGTTGATTTATAACAACCCGTTAAAATACACCAGAATGAAGGAAATGGCATCTGTTATTCAAAATTTTCTGAGAGAGGACTCACAGAGCCCTGTGGAGTTCTGTGATGGAGTTAAATTCAAAGCAGTCTGCTCCTCATATAAGTAATGTAAACTTATCGTTTTTATGTACGGATGTTTCTGTTCAGTGCCCTGAGATGACTTCTGTTGTAACTTGGCACTATATAAATAAACTGAATTGAACAGTACCTGATGTATGGTGTGTCCCCAGGGATATGATATTTTGCACCAGGATCAAAATGCTCTTCTGTACGTCTGGTGGGTGGACAAATTCCTTGGTATTTTGTTCTATTTAACACATTAGAATGTTATTTTAAGAACATGCATGTCAGCCTGTACTAAATTAAAACATTTTGTTGGTATATTGTCCCACCTGAGGCGCCACCAATCAGAGTTGTAATTGTCTGGAGTGGTACTTCCACTGAACACACTCCATCTCCAGAGGTCAATGAGGTAGCCAAAAGGAAGGAAGGCTATCTTCGCCATAGCCATCTTCAATAAGAAGTTAAGATCAGTTTCTAGATTTAAAAAAAAAATATATATATATATATAGTTTAGAAAAACTGGAGAAGTCCAACCCATTTTTCCAGTTCATCATATCAATTTAAATGGAGGTATTTGACATTACCAGCATCAGATGCAGACTCCAGCAGGTTGATTTTGTGCAGATGGTTTGGTGTGGAAACTGAAAGAGCCATAAGGTCACCAATAGCTTCATGGAAACCAGGGTTGGCTCCATTGCGGAAGCCCACATGCTGGTCCTTGTACTGCAGGAAATATTGGATGTGTCCCATTTCATGATGAACAGTGATGAGCAGTTCCATCTTCACTGTGGTGCACATCATAATCCTGAAGAACATTAAACATTAACATACCAACATTTCAGTCAGAACTAGGAGATAAATGTTATTTACCTGAAATCTTTGTGGTTTAAAAAATCCCAAGCAGATCCTTGACACACAACCTCTCTGTCTTTAGGCTTAACAAGGATTGATTTTTCCCAGAACTCTCTGGGCATCGCCTCTAAACCCAAAGATGTGAAGAACTCCTCAGCCACATGGAACATGTGAGTGACATTGTAGCCCTGAGAAAGACCATTTTGACAAAAGTCAGATCACCTAACACACCCCACCCAACACCACTTCAGTAGCATGAACAAGTCTCGTCACACTCACTTGTTTGACCATTTCATTTGTCACATCCAGGTTGGGTTTCTTAGGAAATGGTATCATCATATCATAAATGTTTTCCCAAGTCTGGGCCCACATATTTCCTGAGTGAGAGGATGGAAACATGATTGTATGGTCATTCTGATTTACCATGCAGGACTAAAGGAAATGCCTTAATGCATTATTCAATAATTTGCATCATGCATCTGTTCTCCCATTGTTCTTTAGATGTTTATAAATATAATTTGCAAATACCTTATAATCCTTGTATTTGAAATAAAAAAAAAAGTTTGTAATGCCTCAAATTAAAGTTACACTAATTTAAAGATTTTAGAAAATATTCATGCATCTTACCCAACAGGTGGGCAGGGATTGGTCCTTTTAGATTGATATACTTGGGGCCATAGAAGTTGTAGAGCTGACGGCGCACAAAGGCGTGCAGGTTCAGGTAGAGTGGCTTTATGGTCTTGAAGAGTTTCTCTAGATCCTGTTCAAAAGTTTTAGTTTCATACCAAGATCGCCTGTATGCTCCAGTGTCTTCAAATCCTAGAGAGAAATATTTTCCCATTTAGTTGTCTCAATCACTTTCGCCATTTTTATCTGAAACTTTAGGATATTCAAATGCAATACTTCAAAATGAAAATATCAGGTAGTCTTTCTTACCATCAGCTTGTGCAGCTTTGTTGATGAGCTCCACAAATCTTGGGTAATACCGTTTCACAGGCACACCTGCTGCATTGTGCCAGCCTTCCCAAGCAAACAGCAACTGCTTGTAGCTTCTGTTTCTAGCCATGATTTCTGTGAGATCTGCAAGAAAATGCATTTCTCAGTCAAAGATGAACACACAAAACTTATGGAATAAACAGCAGAAAAAATGTTTAAAATAAAACTGGGTTTCACGATAAAGAAGCTAAACTGTAGAAAGAGGTAAAGTTCAAATGTATTTCTTGAAGTCAAATCATAGAATTAAAAAAAAATAAAATTAAAAAAAAAAAAAAAAAAAAAAAAAAAAAAAAACTTATCCGGTTGTGTAACAGTTTTTTAGGATTGCGGTGCTTTTTTCAAGCTCAATACTCACCAGGATCCATGCTCCAGCTGATGTTTGGCTCAGGGTGTACTTTAGCTGTGGAATAAATACCTTCCATGGTGCTGAGGATGGTGTTGAACTAAAGGACAAACATTTGATGTTTTAAGAGATCAGAAAAGTGTCACTTTGACAAACTTGTGATTACAGACAATCAAACCTCTTCTCTTTCAGCCTGTGGGAGGTTGGCAGCACCCAGCACCTTGAGGTTTTTCATCAGCCTCTTGTCTTTAGGGTTTGGAAGAGAGTCCAGAAATGTTTCAGAAAAGGTCTCCTTGGCTTTGACTCCCCAGGCTTCAGTAAAGGCTTGTTCTTCAAGTTCTGCTTTGACCTAAGACAAGGAGACAGAAATTTGACTATGACTGACCTTCATTTTGATCAGTTTGAATAAAGTTAATTTAACTGGATGAGTTAAAAATAGATTAGATACAGAGTTAGCATTGCTCTTTTTGCCGCCTCAAAAAAAAAGGGACCAGGTTTTTTTTTTTTCTTCCAGATTTGTAATTCTTCCATGCTCCAGGAATGTGATTCTTAATTTACACTCCAACTGTGATTTACAGCAATTTGTACGTTTTTTCCCAGTGAAATTTTTCTCTCTTAATGGCCTGTTGGTAAGAGACAAATTGCAAGCATTACACACTGCAGTACAGATAAGAGGTAGACTCAAAAAAATGGTCCAAATATTATGGTTTGTCAATTATTGTGACAACCTGCATCAATGAGCCTTTGACAGTTTTGTTTCAGCACAATTACCATTTTAGTTGCGTCTGCCAAATGAATAATGCATAATTGAGAGAATCAGTCACATTTTCCTCATTCATAGAAACTTTACATGCAATTTGTCATTTTTCTTGTACATAAATCTAAGCTATTGTTCAAGATAATGGTTATTAATGAACATTGCAAAAAAACTGGTTTAAATAATAAGAATGCATAATTAACTTTATCTATATAGCACCGTCCAACAATGACAAAGTGCTTGACAAGATAACATGGCACAATAAATCAGTGCAAATTAAAAAAAAAAAAAAAAAGCCACAATAAAAGAGGGTAAGACGAGATAAAAATACTAAAAGTTAGACATCAAAAGCTCAATTAAAAAAATATGGCTCTGCAGGTGTAATTATCTATATACACACACACAATCAACTGACAAAATCACAATCTTCAACATGGCAGCAACCCAATTGTTACAGTAACATGCAACTCACTGAGCAAGATGGAAAGAAAAGTGAGCCTTTAAGAAAGGAACTGGTTGGAGTATTTATGACATTTTATAAATCTGACAGCTACTCCTAAAATGTATATGGGAATTTTGCATAACAGGCATGATTTATGAACTTGTGACTATAGACACTCCAAGTTTGGCTCCTTTAACAGTCCATTATGGCATTATTTATTAGTCAGCCTCCAGGTAGAGTTTGCCTTCTCTTAAAGCTGTCAAAGCTAAAAAAAAAAAAAAAAAAACCTGCCCCTGAATGCATCTGTGGTGACACTGCGAGGATAATCAGAGTGGGAATGAGAAGATTTAGCTCCTACCTGAAGCTTGGAGTTGTATTCTGTTATGTTAGAGTCGTAGTTCCAGGTGGCAGACGTGCTGTAGAAGAACACCTCCTCAGCAGTGCTGTTGTAGTCACTGAGGAACCTGAGTGCGTCAGAGGTGCTGTTTGTGTAGTTTCCTGGCTGCCAGCTCTTTGGCAGAGCTTCACTCAGCACCAAGACAGGCAGTAGCAGCAGCAGGGGCCTGACCAATCTGTCCATGGTTAGCTGCAACTTCAGGCAGAGTGGAAAGAAGAACTAAGGTACTACTGCAGTACCTTAAATAATTCTCCAACTAAATGTTTGTCTCCTCCTGTGTGTCTCTTCCAGCTTGGCTGCTGGTGAAGCGCATAGAAACCAACCAACACTTCTTTATAAAGGCCCCTTTAACCCAACCCACACTACACCACAAGGCATATCTGAACTAAATCTTGATGCCCAGCAATTTCCAATTAGCAGCACAACAGTGAACAATCTGGGAGGGGCTTATATTTCACTCCAATACATTTTTCTGCATAGAGACAGAATTTGGAGGAAGGGTTAGTTTAAAAATATATGAAAGAGAGAGTTGGGAAAGAAAAAAAACTGGAAAGAGGAGAAGGGCATCTGTACAGCAAAATCTGTAGTGTTGTTTTTCAGTGTTAATAATTTTGAGTTGATTGGTGCTGATTTGGGAGTTGTTTTAACACTTGTGATCAAAAAGCTCTGTGAGCGGTGTCAATCAAGCGAGTTAAATGTTAACACCTGTGACTGAGTTAGATTCACTCCATGTGGATTTGATCCCTGTTTAAGTTGTGACTGATCTTATTATTGTGCTAACTCCTAAGGTGCTGGGAAGTTGCTTAGTTTTTTAATAAAAAATAAATACAAATATATATATATATATATTTTTTTACTTGCTCACTGTTGCTAGTCAACACATTTGAACTTATGATGTAACTAAAGAGTGTGCTGTGTGTGTTAACTTTCTGTAGCCTTGCAGGTGACTACAAGAATTTTCAGATTTGGTGACTTGTATGTTAGGCTAGTAAACACAGAATGCAGTTTTAATGTTTTGTAAAACAAAACAATGAATGTTAACACATTAATGAAAGGAAATAACACACTTTTGGTGCTAAAAATATATGTTTCATAAAATAACACAATGCATGCATCCATTATCTTTACCCGCTTATTCCATTTTGGGTCACGGGGGTCACTGGTGCCCATGTCCAGCAATCACTGTGCGAGGGGTGGGGGACACCCTGGACGGGTCGCAAGTCCAGCACAGGGCCACATAGAGACAAACGAGACAAACAACCATTCACTTTCTCACTCACACCTAGGGACAATTTAGAGTTACCAATCAGCCTAACACGCATGTTTTTGGACTGTGGGAGGAAACCGGAGTACACAATGCACGTTCAAAAATAAAAACATACAAAAGGGGGAGTGGTGGTGCAGAGGCTAGAGAGGGTGAGCCTGTGATCAGAGAGCCCCCAGCCAACCCAGGCTCAACTCCCAGACCAACAACATCAAAATGTGGGTGGGAAAGGTGCAACAGCCACCCTTGGCACCTGAGCAAGGGTCTAGGGTTGGGGCCTTGCTCAGGTGCTCAGGGTGGGGCAAATGAGGGTGGGGACAGGTGTGGGCACCTTGCCTACCCCACCCACATTTTTGATGTTGTTGGTACCTGGGGCTTGAACCAGCGATCTTCCGATCACAGGCCCACCTTCTCCAGCCTCTGCGCCACCACCCAACACCATCAAAGAGCCAAAATATTAACACTTTTCAAAGTGTACTTTTAACTCAGAATCTGTGAGAATTATAAACACTCAGAAAAAGTGTCAAATTTAATACTGTGAGTTGAATTAACACTCCTGTTTTTGCTGTGACAATCCGGCATGGATTTATATGTTTAATATGTAAATATTCTAAATTCAGGCAGTGCATCTTCACAGTTAACACTGTAGGGGGAAAGGCTGTGGTCTGAACACCTTTTAACAGGTGCTTACACTCATTCCAAGTTTTGAAATGTTGACCTGCATCAACCCCAAAATTATATGTGAGTCCTTGTAACAAATTTAATTCCCCTCACTCGAAGAAAAGACAAAGAATTTGGTAATTTAAATACACAATTCTGTAATGTTTATTGCCAGTTTGAATAATAGCAATATGAAATTATGGCAAATATGCAATATGGATGAATAACCAACAATATTATTTCAGAAAGTGAATGATGTAAATAATAGAGACTTTGAGAAGGGATATTCAATTTGGACTAAGGTTCTAGCTATAACGTTAAAATTTAAGTAAGCTTTATCTCAGATTCGTGAACTAAATTATGTCTAAACTCAGTTGGCACTTAGTCGTTTTATATAGACCAAGGTTTTTACAGAGAACATCTTGAAAAATATGAAGAACAAAATACAGATTTCCATTTATTAATGACACTTCTGCATTCATCTTATTTGGAGGAACTAGAACCACAAACACTGTTGTCTGACATTGTAAAATAATATTCCCTGACGCTCCTCCCCAATGCGTAAGATGCGTCAAAAGTGGACCAATAACAAGCAAGCATTCAAGATGGACGTTTTCCAGAACAAATTGGAACATTTTTCATCGGTGCTGCCAAAATCATCATAGTCATTGATTAAATTCTGACACTATCCATTCACAAAAACATAAAACATCCTTCGGGGCCCCTGAAATGCCGGGGCCCCGGGCTGCAGCCCCTGTAAGCCCCTGCTAAAATCCGGCCCAGCCTCCTTTACTCCTCTCTCAAATCACCGTTCCTCTCTGTCCAGGATGTGATTATCTTCATCCCTGAAAGAGTGACCGCTCGCCTGGAGATGAGTGTAGACCGCAGAGTCCTGGCCTGATGATGTTGATCTTCTGTCCTTTTGGCCAGTGGCTGTTTAGTTTCCCCGATGTAAGACTGATCACAGCCCTCCTGACACTGAACAGCATACACAATATTACTCTGTTTGTGCCGGGGGACTGGATCTTTGGGATGAACCAGTCTTTGCCGTAATGTATTTTGGGGTTTAAAAGCCACTAGGACGTTATGTTTAGAAAATAAACGTCTCAGTTTCTCTGATACTCCCTCAATATACGGAATGACCACTGGTCTGGGTCTGGGTTCCTCCTTTCCACCTGTCTGTGTTAAGTTTTGTATCATTAGCTGCACACTATAGTCAAGCTTGAAGATGTCAATTTGAGCATAAACATCTTCATCTTGCTAATTCCTAAAGATTTAAACCTTTTCTCTTTGAAAAGACAAGTCGTGGTCTTCCTGGCTGTAAAAATGCTCCATCTATGTTTTTAACAGATCCTGGAATTAGCTGTCTTGATTATGGGCCATGAGACATCCTTTAATGTTGAGCCTTCAAATACCGTAGCTGAATTTGTTATGATTTCAGAAGAAAAAAAAAAAATCACAAGCACACATTTTATAAGTTTTGATTCCCACCACACACTAGAATCCATCATGATCCATCAAGAGCACATGTTAATATGATTACATTTAAGAAACAAGTTTTGTTGTCATCTGAATTTCAGATGTTTCTGTATAAACCTTTAGAGTGAAACAATTGGCAATCAGAAATCCATTTTTATTCAACTCTTACAAATCTGCTGAGGAGGGCAGTGCATCATTCTGAATGTCACCAAGTCTTTCAATGATATGTTTGATGGACAGATCCTGGAAGTCAGTGGTATCATATTTGCCAGCCTCCAGTCCAAATTCTATGGTGTGCTTCAAAATCTCCATGTTAGACGAGAAAAGGTATTTTGAGTTTAAATGTAAGAAAACTGCTACCGTAACTGCTGTTCTACAAGAACCCACTTTTTTCTCACACTTTGTATCCCATGGTTTACATGCAGGAGTGTGTTATTTAGTGATGGTAGTATGAAACAAAAGCTTCAAAACATGCTTCGAACCCTGCAGTAAAATTACATCGGACCACTGCTTCAGAGCCTGTTTTGGTACGGAAAAAGTCACGTAACACGTGACGTCCGAAACACAAACTGTTTCGTTGTCAGAATGAATCGCTTGACTGGTTTGCGGTCCCAACAGCTGATTCCCTGGCACCTCCTCGTCTCGATCCTGACAGGTGACAGGTTGAGACAGTTTTGAATTGAGAGCGCTCAACACTATGAAATAGCTCTAAAATGTTTGCAATGTGTTGGAGAGTTGGTGTGTTTTTGCTGTTTTGTTGTTAATATAGTTGAAATTGAGTAATTATAGAGGCAGCCAGGAAAAGAGGTCGTGCTAACATGTGGGAACACTTCATTCTGCTCATGATAAGGTGGTTTTGGCATTTAAATGTCAAAAAAAGTTATAGTAATGTTCAGCAGTGAAGATATTATCTAACCCATTTAACCTATGTATTTATTATAATTACAGTAAAATGATGTGATTTTAATAATCATATATCAGTATGGGCTCAAATATCCTTCCATCCATCCATTTTCTTCCGCTTATCCGGGGTCGGGTCGCGGGGGTAGCAGCCTAAGTAGGGAGGCCCAGACTTCCCTCTCCCCAGCCACTTGGGCCAGCTCTTCCGGGGGAATCCCGAGGCGTTCCCAGGCCAGCCGAGAAACATAGTCCCTCCAGCGTGTCCTGGGTCTTCCTCTGGGCCTCCTTCCGGTGGGACGTGTCCGGAACACCTCACCAGGGAGGCATTTCTGCAGGTGCAGTGTTTGGTGTGTTCAACTGAACTGAAGCATCATGATACCTCCTCTATGATTAGACACTTCAGCGCCAAACATGGAGATGCTGGAGACATCATTTCATTGATATTTTATGAATTATAAAGACTCTGACTCTGTCACAGTTACACAAGCACAATACCATTGCAACATTTTTATTAAATCTCTTCAATGCACGTTTATCAATCTTTATTCAAAAACATGTAAGCATGAATACATTTTCAAACCAGACAACATAGAAAGTTGATGAATTAAAAAAAATCTGTTTTTTTACCACAGTAAAGTAGTTTTTTTTAACACTTGTCACTCAAGTTCTTCCGTGTGTGACACCAAAAGCATAACACCTAATTTGACAGCAGCATTGCAAAATGCCACAAGAGGTCACTGTAACTGAAGCTTCAACAAATGAACCTATTGTTGAAACAATTGGCCCAACTGGTTCAATGCTTCATAAAAGCTTCATTTGCTCATCACTAGTGTTATTTATGTACTTTTTCATAAGTTACAAAATGTGTGTTTTTATATTTTATTTTGAAAGACATCCTGCTATATCTTGGTAGCTTCCTGCCAATGACTAAGATTTTCTTTTGACAGAGCTGGGTGCTCATGGCTTCCAGCACCTTGAACATCATGGGGGCAGGTGGTTGTGACACAGAGAGAATGCTCTCAGGTAATCAGATATACAAGGTCTTTTGCTCACAGTTTCAAATACCCTACCATAACTCCCCCACTTTGTCATCATGTGACCAGAAGTCTAACCTGATTGACCAGCGAAGTACTCTCGAGGAACATCCCCCAAGATAAACATGAATTAATTTCTTCAGATCGTTCCTGTGTTGTTTATTGTATTTTGCGCTTCATGCCCAGACCTGGTCATTTGTTCAGCAATAATGGAAAATGCACAGAGAATTTCTTATGATGCAGCTTTCATGTTAAGCTGCAGCCCATAAACTTTGCATCAACGTGTGTCGATGATCAGGATTAGAGACGCAAAGCAGTCGAGTCTGGTGCATGTTTTAATAAAAGTTTTAAAATTCTTTCTGTGTCGGTAAATATGCGTTTAAACACTGGGATCTCATTTTAAACTCACATCCTAACACGAAGCGGAGAAAAGCGTCTTCCCCCCTCCCATAGATGAGAGTTCAGCGGTGGACAAGTCATCAGGTTTATTTTAAAGCAGTCTGTCAAGTCTGGTACATATTTAAATAAAAGTTGTTGTTTTTTTTATATTTCTATGTACAGTAAATTTGTGTTTAAATACCAGTATCCCATTTAAGCTTAAACAGGGGAATTAAACAGAGCGAAGGAACAGGAGGTGAAAAAAGAATGGGAAGGGAGGTGTTGTTCCTCCTCATGAGCAGTGCTGAGCAGAAATCACATCAAATTTATTTAGAAAGTACATTTACAAAAACAGATGTTAACAAAAGTGTTTACCAATAAAAATCAATAGTACTCATTGAATGAATATTTACCACATTCTACCAGTACTATGTGACTTCCGGTCACATGACCTCGATAAGACTGGGTTTTACCGGTAAATAATTTTAAAATAATTTCAGTTATGTAGGTGTTTGGCTCTGTTCTGTCCAGTGATTATGCGTAGATAGTTACTGTGTTCATTTTGAAGGTATAATGGTTGTAACCATGAGTCAAACAGCAAAGCTTCATAATGACTCTTGATGATCTTGCACTCAGCATGTGTTGAAAGCAAGCTATATTCTGTGAAACTTCATCTACTGGCTGATTCTTGTACTACATGAACGTTGCACATTGTGCTGAAGCAGTCTGGGGGTACAGATTCTGACAATGAGCATTGGATGCCTGCAGGTAATCTTATTTATACACACAACTATAATGTATCTTGTGTTTAATAAGTGAGGTTTAGAGATAGGTGTGTTCTGTAGCATGAGATTTACAGTATTGGGAAGTTTTGAGACATGCATGTTGGATTAAAGTGCAAATTACATTAGAACAAGCACACTTGAATAATGAGTTTAATAGTTTTATTGACAATATTTATTGATTTTACATTTTGATGCCACATTCAAAAGTTGTTCGGATGAGATGAAAGATGAAGCCTTTTATGAAGCCGTTTGACAACTTTATGCCTAGGAGGTTATGTACAGATGCTGGTCATAAAATTAGAATATTATGAAAAAGTTTATTTATTTCAGTAATTCCATTAAAAAAGTGAAACTTGTATATTATATTCATTCATTACACACAGACTATTTCAAATGTTTTTCTTTTAATGTTGATTATAACTGACAACTAATGAAAATACCAAATTCAGTATCTCAGAAAATTAGAATATTACGTAAGACCAATAAAAAAAATGATTTTTAGAAATGTTGGCCAACTGAAAAGTATAAACATGAAAAGTGCCGTATTTTCCGCCATAAATGTTACATTGCCCTATAAGTTGCATCAGTCCAAATATGTCTAATAACGTTGAAAAATCCATAAATATGGTGCTTCGCCGTATATGTCGCATCTATTATGCGTCACCGCAGACACGTCGCATTTGTAATGTGTCACCGCTGACAACCCGGAAATGTGGACCGGTGTTGTGCCAAAAATCGACTGGCTGCCATATGGCAGCCGCTGGGGTGTACACGGGAGGACTTTAACAAGAATTTAATAGATTAACACTTGAAAACAATTATCTGTTTGCTCGAAATTATAGTAAAGTTGTGTCTCAGTTTAACTTAAAGCCAATACGCGGAAGTAAGCGCATGCACGGGACAAGTCGCTGTGCAACTTTAGCAAGATAAATACCTAAAAACAATTATTTGTTTGCTCAAAATTATAGTAAAGGTGTGTCTCAGTCTAACTTTTGCTTAGTAAATGCACTTTGACTGTCAAATCAGCTGCATTTCAAAAGCCGATATGCATAAGTAAGCGCATGCACGGGACAAGTCGCTGTGCAAATTTAACAAGATAAACACCTAAAAACATTTACTTGTTTGCTCGACTTTATAGTAAAGATGTGTCTCAGTTGAACTTTTGCTTAATAAAAGGACTTGTAATGGTCAAATCAGCTGTATTTCAAACGCATGTGCTGCCTCGGTGTTCCGGGAGCGCGCAGACAGGGAGGAATATTTCTTAGAAATTTAACAAGCCAAGCACCTAAAACAATTATTTGTTTGCTCGACATTATAGTAAAGGTGTGTCTCAGTTGAATTTTTACTTAAAAAATGCACTTCAATGGTCAAAGTAGTTGCATTTCGCCAGGGTGGCGCAGTAAAATGAAGCTGATTTGGCTGTTGCTCCAGGCGAGCTGGACCAAGGTGGCAGAAAATGGCAAGCCAATTGTGTCAGTAATAGCCCTTTTACCTATTCCAAGATACAGTGGCATGCCATACTACTCTGGCACCATCTAGCAGCTGAAAATGGTAATGTTCAATATTTCAGTCAGAATGAATGAAAATGGGGGCAGCACGGTGGCGCAACCGGTAGAGCTGCTGCCTCTCAGCAAGCAGGTCCCCCGTTCAAATCCCGGTCCGGGGGGCCCTCTGGGTGGAGTTTGCATGTTCTCTGTGTGCATGCGTGGGTTTTCTCCGGGTACTCTGGTTTCCTCCCACAGACCAAAAACATGCATGTTAGAATGACTGGTAACTCTAAATTGTCCTAAGTGGGAGAGTGAATGGTTGTTTGTCTCGTTTGTCTCTATGTGTCCCTGTGATGGACTTGCGACCTGTCCAGGGTGTACCCTGCCCCTCGCACAGTGATTGCCGGACATGGGCACCGGTGACCCCGGTGACCCCGGTGACCCAAAATGGAAGAAGCAGGTAAAATATATTGGATGGATGGATGGATGAATGGTCATATCTCAGCCAAAAATTGGGTTATAAATATGGGGGGGAAAAAACATAAATGCATCGCTTCGGTGTCTAATTCGTGGGACATGCAAATTATACAAACAACTGTGACTTATAGGGTGAAAATTACGGTATGAGCATTTACTGCACTCAATACTTAGTTGGGGCTCCTTTTGCCTGGATTACTGCAGCAATGTGGCGTGGCATGGAGTCTATCAGTCTGTGGAACTGCTCAGGTGTTATGAGAGCCCAGGTTGCTCTGATAGTGGCCTTCAGCTCTGACCAACTTTATGAAGATGCAAATTTCATTTTCCAACAGGACTTGGCACCTGCACACATTACCAAAGCTACCAGTACCTGGTTTAAGGAACATGGTATCCCTGTTCTTATTTGGACAGCAAACTCGCCTGACCTTAACCCCATAGAAAATCTATGGGGTATTGTGAAGAGAAAGATGTGATACACCAGACCCAACAATTAAGAAGAGCTGAAGGCCACTATCAGAGCAACCTGGGCTCTCATAACACCTGAGCAGTGGCACAGACTGATCAACTCCATGCCACACTGCTGCAGTAATCCAGGCAAAAGGAGCCCCAACTAAGTATTGAGTGATGTACATGCTCATACTTTTCAGTTGGCCAACATTTCTAAAAATCCTTTGTTTATTGGTCTTCAGTAATATTCTAATTTTCTGAGATACTGAATTTGTGGTTTTCATTAGTTGTCAATTATAATAATCAACATTAAAATGAATAAACATTTGAAATACATCAGTATGTGGGTAATGAATGAATATAATGTACAAGTTTCACTTTTTGAATGGAATTACAGAAATAAATTAAGTTTTTCATGATATTGTAATTTTATGACCAGCACCTGTATGCACTCCAGACCACTTCAGCTGTGTCCTTCCAGAAGTTGTGTTGAATCAATCTTATTTGTATTTATGAAAAATAAGTTTAGTTAGTAAACTTATAATGAAGAGCCATAACTACAACTGTGCTTTATTTAATTCTTACCAATATCTTGAGGGTAGCCCTCAGGAATTGGTGGAACCCAAGCATATTCAGGCCATCCCAAGGTCTCGTTCACATTTTGTTTCTCCAGCCACTTAGTTACAGGTTCAAAGTATTTCATCAGTGAGCTGGCACTCATCTCCCTGGTGCCCATAGCATCTTCAAGCACATCAGGCCAAGGTTTGGAAGAGCCAGCTTGAAGAAGTTTCCTTGGGAAGAAGATAATACTTTTAACCCATCGTTCATGCTGTGTATTAAACAGAGATTCAGTTAGTTGAGATTCAGTTAGTTCAGTAAGTTGACTTACTTTAGAATGGCTCCTGCTTCTGCAGATTGGTAGATGTCACATGTGTGCAGGGGACCTGTGTGGTTGGCAGCCTGGCACAATCTCTCATGGAACTGGAATTGCAGAATGTAGCTGACAAAATACCTGCATTGGGGTGGGGGTGTTGGGGGTAGGGAGTGTCATTGTTTTGTTATCTTGATAGTTTTTTTAGTCAGTAGAAATCAGATAACCTAAACATTGCCTTTTACTCTGCAGCATGTTTCCTCCCATTTTAAAACATGCATATTTCTTAAATCTTCATTTAAGCATATGTAGTGCACATTTCAGGCATGCATACAATGTACAAAGTGTGTGCAAGGTAGAGCACTTGTCATTAAAGTCAGAATGCTTCTGGCACAGCAAGTACAAAGCAGTAAAACTAGGGCCAACAATATGATTCATGTTTGTAAAAGATTCTCTTTTACTTTTATTTCAGTAATGGGACAGTACCTGATGTATGGTGTGTCCCCAGGGATATGATATTTTGCACCAGGATCAAATTGCTCATCTGTACGTCTGGTTGGTGGACAAATTCCTTGGTATTTTGTTCTATTTAAAACATTAACGTAATTTTAAGAACATACGTGTCAGCCCTGTATCTATTTAAAAACATTCTGTGTGCATATTGTCCTACCTGAGGTGCCACCAATCAGAGTTGTAATTGTCTGGAGTGGTACTTCCACTGAACACATTCCATCTCCAGTGATCAATGAGGTAGCCAAAAGGAAGGAAGGCTATCTTGTCCAGAGCCATCTTCAATAAGAAGTTAAGATCAGTTTCTAGAATAAAAAATATATATTGAAACTGGAACATTCCAACCCATTTTTCCAGTTCATCATAATAATTTATATTAGAGGAATTTGGAAATATTACCAGCATCAGATGCAGACTCCAGCAGGTTGATTTTGTGCAGATGGTTTGGTGTGGAAACTGAAAGAGCCATAAGGTCACCAATAGCTTCATGGAAACCAGGGTTGGCTCCGTCACGGAAGCCCACATGCTGGTCCTTGTACTGCAGGAAATATTGGATGTGTCCCATTTCATGATGAACAGTGATGAGCTGTTCCATCGTCACTGTGGTGCACATCATAATCCTGAAGAACATTAAACATTAACATACCAACATTTCAGTCAGAACTAGGAGATAAATGTGATTTACCTGAAATCTTTGTGGTTTAAAAAATCCCAAGCAGATCCTTGACACACAACCTCTCTGTCTTTAGGCTTAACAAACATAGATTTTTCCCAGAACTCTCTGGGCATCGCCTCTAAACCCAAAGATGTGAAGAACTCCTCAGCCACATGGAACATGCGAGTGACATTGTAGCCCTGAGAAAGACCATTTGACAAAAGTCAGATCATCTAACACACCCCACCCAACACCACTTCAGTGGCATGAACAAGTCTTGTCACACTCACTTGTTTGACCATTTCATTTGTCACATCCAGGTTGGGTTTCTTAGGAAATGGTGTCATCATATCATAAATGTTATCCCAAGTCTGGGCCCACATATTTCCTGAGTGAGAGGATGGAAACATGATTATATCGTCATTCGGACTTACCATGCAAGACTAAAGGAAATGCCTTCATGCATTATCCACTAACACTAATTTGTGTCATGAATATGTTCTCCCATTGTTCTTTAGATGTTTATAAAGAATGTTTGCAAATACCTTATAATCATTGTATTTGAAATAGAAATGTTTGTAATGTCTCAATTTAAAGTTAAACTTTTTTTTTAAAGATTTTAGAAAATATTCATGCATCTTACCCAACAGGTGGGCAGGGATTGGTCCTTTTAGATTGATATACTTGGGGCCATAGAAGTTGTAGAGCTGACGGCGCACAAAGGCGTGCAGGTTCAGGTAGAGTGGCTTGATGGTCTTGAAGAGTTTCTCTATATCCTGCTCAAAAGTTTCACTTTCATACCAAGAGCGCCAATATGCTCCGGTGTCTTCATATCCTAGAGAGAAACGTTTTCCATTCAGTTGTTTCTATCATTCTTTTGCCATTTTTATCTGAAACTTTAGAATATTGAATGCAGTACTTGAGAACAAAATTGTCAGGTGGTCTTTCTTACCATCAGCTTGTGCAGCTTTGTTGCTGAGCTCTACATATCTTGGGTAATACTGTTTCACAGGCACACCTGCTGCATTGTGCCAGCCTTCCCAAGCAAACAGCAACTGCTTGTAGCTTCTGTTTTTAGCCATAATTTCTGTGAGATCTGCAAGAAAATACATTAATCAGTCAAAGATGAACACACAAAACTTATGGAATAAACAGCAGAAAAAATGTTTAAAAGTCCATCATAAAAACTCATCTAATTGTGCAACTGTTTCTTTTAGAATTGTTTCCATATTCTGGTGTTTGTGTGTGTGTGTGTGTGTGTGTGTGTGTGTGTGTGGGTGGGTGGGTGTGTGTGTGTGGGGGGGGGGGGGGTGTACTTAAAGCCAAATACTCACCAGGGTCCATGCTCCAGCTGATGTTTGGCTCAGGGTGTACTTTAGCTGTGGAATAAATACCTTCCATGGTGCTGAGGATGGTGTTGAACTAAAAGACAAACATTTGATGTTTTAAGAGATCAGCAAAGTGTCACTTTGACAAACTTGTGATTACAGACAAACAAACCTCTTCTCTTTCAGCCTGTGGGAGGTTGGCAGCACCCAGCACCTTGATGTTTCCCATCAGCCTTTTGTCTTTAGGGTTTGGAAGAGAGTCCAGAAATTTATCTGAAAAGGTCTCCTTGGCTTTGACTCCCCAGGCTTCAGTAAAGGCTTGTTCTTCAAGTTCTGCTTTGACCTAAGACAAGGAGACAGAAATTTGACAATGACTGATCTTCGATTTGATCAGTTTGAGTAAAGTTAATTTGTGGAACAGTTTAACAGGATGAGTTAAAAAATAAATTTAAAAATAGATTATCTGAGCTAGGGCAGCACGGTGTCGCAACTGGTAGAGATGCTGCTTCTCAGCGAGAAGGTTGCCGGTTCAAATCCCGGTCCGGGGGCCTCTCTGGGTGGAGTTTGCATGTTTGTTCCGTGCATGTATGGGTTTTCTCTGGGTACTCCAGTTCCCTCCCATAGACTAAAAACATGCATGTTAGGCTGATTGGTAACTCTAAATTGTCCCTAGATGTGAGTGAGAGAGTGAATGGTTGTTTGTCTTGTTTGCCTCTATGTCACTGTGATGGACTTGTGATCTGTCCAGGGTGTTCCCCGCCCCTCACACAGTGATTGCTGGACATGGGCATCGGTGATCCAAAAATGGAATAAGCGGGTAAAGATAATGGATGGATGGATGGATGGATGGATGGATGGATAATAAACCAACAACAATTTTCAGTCAGGTCATCTGGACAGTTTCTTTTTTTGTGTGTGTGCTGAAACGTTTCACCTTCCATCCATCAGGCAAGGAAACACACAACACAGAACTGATTATTCCCCCAACAGCTTACTCCAAAGTGGAACAAACCAGTTATGTTGGTGCTAAGATGGTGTCTTTGGTACGCAAAGACACCATCTGACAGATACTCCTAAAATGTATATGGGAATTTTGCATAACAGGCATGATTTATGAACTCTTGACTATAGACAGACACTCCAAGTTTGGCTCCTTTAACAGTCAATTATGGCATTATTATTTATTAGTCAGCCTCCAGGTAGAATTTACGCCTTTTCTTACAACTGTCAAAGCTAAAATAAAAAAACCCGCCCCTGATTGTATCTGTGGTGACAAACTGTGAGGATAATCAGAGTGGGAATGAGAAGATTTAGTTACTTTTAGCTCCTACCTCAAGCTTGGAGTTGTATTCAGTTATGTTAGAGTCGTAGTTCCAGGTGGCAGACGTGCTGTAGTAGAACACCTCCTCAGCAGTGCTGTTGTAGTCACTGAGGAACCTGAGTGCATCAGAGGTGCTGTTTGTGTAGTTTCCTGGCTGCCAGCTCTCTTGCAGAGCTTCACTCAGCACCAAGACAGGCAGCAGCAGCAGCAGGGACCTGACTAATCTGTCCATGGTTCGCTGCAACTTCAGGCAGAGTGGAAAGAAGAACTAAGGTACTACTGCAGTACCTTAAATAATTCTCCAACTAAATGTTTGTCTCCTCCTGTGTGTCTCTTCCAGCTTGGCTGCTGGTGAAGCACAGAGAAACCAACCAACACTTCTTTATAAAGGCCCCTTTAATCCAACCCACACTACACCACAAGGCACATCTGAACTACATCTTCATGCCCAGCGGAGTGAAGGCTCCTCAATTAGCAGCACAACAGTGAAGAATCTGGGAGGAGCTCATATTTCAGTCCATATTTCACAGAAATTCACACCCCTTTTTCAGCTCTGAGACAGAAAAAGTAGGGAGGGGAAGTTTAAACACAGTGGGGATGAACGAGAGAGGTAGAAATGAAAAGAAAACTGGACAGAGGAGGATGTTATCTATAATCTGGTGTAGGGGTAATGTCTGAGTGGTCTGGACAACGTGTTTATGCTAATCGTTCAAAGTTATGTAATAAATGTTGACCGACCACAGTCAAAAGAAATATGTGAGTACTTGGCAACGTTGTTATTTCCCTCACTCGAACAAAGACACAAAAATCTGGTCAGTTAAAATCGCAAGTCTGTAACGTTTATTTTCAGTTTGAATAAGGACAACATGAAATTATATCAGATATGAAATACAAATGAATAACCAAATAGTGTTATTTCAAAAGGGTAAATAACATTAAATATTGTGGGGAGTGGTGGCGCAGAGGTTAGAAAAGGTGGGCCTGTGATCGGAAGATCGCCGGTTCAAGCCCCGGTACCGGCAAAATCAAAATTGTGGGTGGGGTAGGTGAAGCACCCACACCTGCCCCCACCCTCATTCGCCCCACTCTGGGCCCATGAGCAAGGCCTTTAACCCCCATCTGCTCCCTAAACAGGTCTCTCTTGAAAAAGAGTTCTCGTGGCTCAATGAGACTACCTGGGTAAATAAAGGGTAAATGAAAAAAAAAATAGCTTAAAACTTTAAGAGGTATATTCAATTTGGACTAAAGTTGGAGCTCTAATGTTAAAATTTAGGTAAACTTTATCTCAGATTTGTGAACTAATTATAAACGTCTAAAAAGAACTCGAGTTGGCACTTGATATTCTTCTCATCAGAAGAAAGATGTTTTATCCTACCAGGAACGTTGTCCATCTCATTACCACAATGGATACGGGGTGAAAGCCAGTGGCCGGCCGTCACAAGAAGGGATGTTTTTCCTCAGGACAGCGTTTCGTTCGGCAAGAGAGCACCATCGCTCCGGGGTGTCTGAACAAGTTAAGGACTTCTCTCCATTTCTCAGCTGATCATGCCCCGTCTGAGATGGAACTTCTGGGCTGGCTCAGATCCAACTCTCCACCAGGATGTCCCATGTCTGGCAGCTTCGGACAACTTCCTCCACATGAGATTGATCTCCAACTGACTTCATGTGTCAGCTTACCTGACACACCAAGTGGCCATGCCTCTGATATTAACCAATCAAATGCAGCTACCAACAGTGTGTGGGAACCAGCTACATAATTAATTTTAATTATAACACTCCTCTCAAAATCTTAGAGGGGAACAATGGTTTTGCTTATATGACAACACCTTGTTTTTACATAAACGCCATTTCCTTCACAAAATGCAAGTTTGGTTCTGGACACACACATTGAAAAACAACAAAGGGTCCCATTTGCAACTTTGTGTTCAAGTGGACTAACTTCCTTCATTACTATGGCAACCACAGTTCTGTTATCCTGAGGCCATTATTGGGTTCTGTCAATCGCTGATATTGATTTCTCTTGGAGACTGAATATCTGTTCCTTCCTAGCAAAGACAGCTGATTAGCCACTGGGGTATAATTAACACAGAGGTTAATTGTCAAAAGAGCCAGGGTGGTCAGGATGTGCTGGCTGACAGATTAGCATACAGAGAGTGGGAGTAGATGAGACATGGTCTCTGAGGATGGTTTGTCTTTTGAGGGACATTGGTTGGACACTACACCGGCATAGATTTATATATTTTGTATGTAAATATTCTAAATTCAGGCAGTGCATATTCTCTGTAGTCTTCACAATTAACACAGATCACAGACTTGGGAACTTGCATGAAGAGCATCAACAATACAAGTCAGAGTAAAAGCAAGGAAATAATATTTCTACAGATATTTATTTTATTGGGAAAAGTTGTAAACCTTCTTTTAAATGCCCATTTCCACCACTTGTATTAAATAATAAATCCATGTCAAAAATATAATCCTCAGCATTTGGCTCAGATTCCAACGATCAAAAGGCACACCTCTGATTTAAAGGATTCATTAAAAGGAATGTAGGGATTTAGTATAAACACCTTTCTGCACTTTGTACAACTTTCATGACAATCTGTTGACCCAAAAGTGGTTTTTGAAACTCTAGAATCCAGGATGATTTGATCCAGTCAGAAGGAGAAATTTGTGTCTCGTTGATTTTATTTATTTTAGATAATGAATATTTGATTTTTAAGATTTCCTGATATATATATATTTTTTGTTAATTTCTAGGTGCAGCTGATCTGTTTTTTCTTAAATATACTTAAAAATTGAACATTGATACTCTGCGCTTATCTCCTAGGTGCACATGCTCAGTCCTTCTTTCTACTTCTTGTTCATTTCCCCCTTCAGGGGATGTGTCCAAAGCTGCATGCTGGTGCTGCTGAAAGTGCCTGAGCACCAGTGCCAAAGCATTCCTATGATGCTGGAGGATGTTTGTATCTTTTCCCAGGTTTCCAGTCTTTATGTGTTTTGTCAGCAGCTGGAAGCTCCATGTGTTAAGTTTCAGGAAAGACTTTGCAAACTCTTGCTTTTCCCTTTTTTCTTCTGCAGAAAAGTCCTGGTGCCTCAGGTATAACAGAGTACCTTCACATAAGATCAACTGAATTTTGTCAATCTGCAAAACTTTTAAGCTGTTTGCAACTAAAACCTACAAAAATAACTCTGAGTTATGAACACGGGATGATCTGCTGAGAGATGAGTGTCTAAATTTGCGTTGTTGGTGTTGTGCCATACATTTTTGCCATGATTTTGTCCGGGTGTATCATGTTTAGTTCATGATTAGTTCATAGAAGTGGGCCAACCTAGTCTAGGTCGGCTTTATATTTTGCAACATAGTCCAAGTTTAGACAGAGTGGACATCTGTGTTATTGTGAAATAAACTGTTTAAAGTTTCTAGTGTTGTCACTTTTACTGTAATAATACTGAGCTGTGCTCTGATATGTCCTCTTCAAGACAAACCTTCAGATGAAGTGGATGAAACTCCAGGAAAGGAGCTCAGTGAGGCTGCAGATGATGGGGAGGAGGAACATGAACCAGAAGCAAAACGGTACAAATACAATGTCAGTTGTGTGAAGAGGAGCAGAAATAAATCATCTGTTACAGGAGAACAGGGAGCTTAGGTCACAGCTGAATAAAAAAACAGCTGGACAAATACAAACCAGATTCCAAAAAAGTTGGGACACTAAACAAATTGTGAATAAAAACTGAATGCAATGATGTGGAGATGGCAAATGTCAATATTTTATTCGTAATATAACATAGATGACAGATCAAAAGTTTAATCTGAGTAAATGTAACATTTTAAAGGAAAAATATGTTGATTCAAAATTTCACAGTGTCAACAAATCCCAAAAAAGTTGGGACAAGTAGCAATAAGTGTCTGGAAAAAGGAAATTGAGCATATAACGAACAGCTGGAAGACCAATTAACGCTAATGAGGTCAATTGACAACATGATTGGGTATAAAAAGAGCTTCTCAGAGTGTCAGTGTCTCTCAGAAAACAAGATGGTAAGAGGATCACCAATTCCACCATTGTTGCTCAGAAAGATAGTGCAGCAATACCAGAATGGTGTTACCCAGCGTAAAATAGCAAAGACTTTTAAGTTATCATCGTCAACCGTGCATAACATCATCAAAAGATTCAGAGAATCTGGAACAATCGCTGTGCGTAAGGTTCAAGGCCGTAAAACTCTACTGGATGCTCGTGATCTCCGGGCTCTTAAACGTCACTGCACCTCAAACAGGAATGCCACTGTCAAGGAAATAACAGAATGGGCTCAGGAATACTTCCAGAAAGCATTGTCAGTGAACATAATCCACCGTGCCATCCGCCGTTGCCAGCTGAAACTCTACAGTGCAAAGAGGAAGCCATTTCTAAGCAAGCTCCACAAGCTCAGACGTTTGCACTGGGCCAGGGGTCATTTAAAATGGAGTGTGGCAAAATGGAAGACTGTTCTGTGGTCAGATGAGTCACGATTTGAAGTTCTTTATGGAACACTGGGACGCCATGTCATCCGGACCAGAGAGGACAAAGATAGCCCAAGTTGTTATCAACGCTCCGTTCAGAAGCCTGCATCACTGATGGTATGGGGTTGCATGAGTGCTTGTGGCATGGGCAGCTTGCTTGTCTGGAAAGGCACCATTAATGCAGAGAACTATGTTCAGGTTCTAGAACAACATATGATCCCATCTAGACGTCATCTCTTTCAGGGAAGACCCTGTATTTTTCAACACGATAATGCCAGACCACATTCTGCAGCAATCACAACATCATGGCTACATAGGAGAAGGATCCGGGTACTGAAATGGCCAGCCTGCAGTCCAGATCTTTCACCTATAGAGAACATTTGACGCATCATAAAGAGGAAGGTGCGACAAAGAAGGCCAAAGACGATTGAACAGTTAGAGGCCTGTATTAGACATGAATGGGAGAGCATTCCTTATTTCTAAACTTGAGAAACTGGTCTCCTCTGTCCCCAGACGTCTGTTGAGATTTTTCAGTCAGGATTTAAACAACTGCACAGCACCGAGACAGCTTTAGTAAGGGTCTGTAATGACATTCTGCTAGCAAATGACTCTGGTCAGTCTGTGATCCTGGTACTCCTCGACCTTACCGCTGCATTTGACACTGTTGATCACAGCATCCTTATGTCATGGCTAGAACACTGGGTTGGGATTACAGGGGTGGTGCTAGAATGGTTCCGTTTGTATCTGGGTGACAGGAGTTTCCGTGTTAACTTTGACAATCATTTTTCTGCTTCTGTCCCCCTTTCCTGTGGGGTCCCACAAGGCTCCATTCTTGGACCCCTTCTGTTCTCATTGTA